CCAAAAAATTTTTAATTTATTTAAATCTACAGGTTTTTTTCTTATATTTGGTACTTATATTATTATTCTACATTGCACTGAATTGTTAAAATTGTTTTTGAAAGTAATCATATCTTTGAAAATGGAGTCATTTAAAAAATACTGAAGTCAAGGAAAACTAAAAACGCAGTTTTACTAAATTTTGCCCATAGTTTCGTGAGTATATTGATTGCTTCGTGTGTTTTGATTTTTTTTTTGTTGTTATTGTAACCTATTCATATAAGTTCATAGTCAACGCCAAATGGATTTGGAATGCAATACTAAGCTCCAGCGACTGTCATTTGTTTAAGTTTTTTTCTGAAAAGTGGTTAAAGTCAAAATTATGTGGAATTTTTTCGATTTAAAAGAAATGAAAATTTTTTTAAACCTTGGTAGCGAAGAAAATGAGACATCACATACAAATTTTAGATAATGATATTTTTAAGGATAACCCTAACATACATACATAGTTTCACATACTTTCAACAAAGCATACATAAAATTTAGATCTGCTCATAAGAGGATATACATATATAGTATCTGTGTATCTGCTTTCATTTGTTCTTTTGGTAATTTGATTTGTTATCCAATCTACAAAAATACATTGACTTACTCATGTTACACTCTCCCTCTCTTCTTTCCCTTTTCCATAATTAATCACTTACAGCATCACTGGATCGCCCTATGGGTGAGATGTCTAAGGCTGAATTTGCTGCCATGTTGGAGAAGCAACATTTGAAGGAATGCGAAGAGAATGACTACATGATGTTGGAGGGACTATTTCAGGCACGTGCATCCATCGATGACACGGACAACTCATTTGGGGTGAGTACTTACCTACGGGGACACACAAACCAACACAGCATCCTCTCATATACATAAATACATACATAAAGCAGGCGTTGGTAGTCTATTGATTTTGAATTTTTGAATATTTGTACATGCATCCACACATGTGTATGTGGACACATTTATCCAATCCAAATATTTGCGAATGTGTTGTTTTTTCCAAGAACCTTTGTGGCCATTTGTGCCACATGTTGCATGTAGCCAAGTACAAACATACTAGCACATGACTTTTTTCAGCAAAGCACAGACTAATCGACTAATTGGTCTCCCTCATATTATTTACTAGCCGCTTTATTTTCACACGCATGGCAGCATTTTTCAAATCCGTGTGTCAGCAGCACTTGTGGCATGTGATTAATGGTTCAATTTTTGAAAAATTACCAAACTATGAAGCGTGGATATGCAGAATGCAAAATTTGTTTTACTTTCGTTATTTTACTTTTATTTTTGCCTGAAAGTTTTAAATTCTGTTACTTAATATGGGGTGACTGTAGATAGCTTGTGGGATCATTGACACCCAACACTCAACGTATGATTTAAAACAAATTAATATGAACACAAAACACAGCAATAGGCGATATAAATATTCGTTGTTTCGTGTAGTTTCGACAAAAAATTTTAAGTGAAACTTCTTAATCGAGCAGTGAGCAAGAACGCGTTCAAAATTAAGTTTGCTTCTGCATGGGAACAAAATGTAATGTCAAGAACGTTCCCACTAAAAAATCAAATGGAAACAAAAGTATTGGAAGTAGTTTGAACTGGAACAAAATGCGAGCAAAACTCTTGGGAACGTTCTCAAGAAGAACAGAATGAAAATGAATGTATCGAGAACGTTTTCAAGCAGGACCAAATAGGAACAAAAGTTTGGGGAACGTTCTGCTAGACAACAAAACGAGAACAAAAGTTTTGAGAACTTAACATTTGAATGAGAGGAGAGTCTGCGTTTTGGGATGAAAAATTGTTTCAGTGGGCACGACGATGGTTAATTCTAAGCCACGTTGGAGTGAATACAGAAGGTGGCGCCGATGGTAGCACCGCGAATCGGCTCTCAGTGAATTTGACAGAATCAGCGGTTTTGCTGACGTCACAGTCGAGATGACAGCAGTAGTGATGTGCTGAGTCAATAATTTTAAGTATTGATCGATATTCGGTACCGATTTAAAAAAGTATCCAATGCTCTCGATATTCGGTACCGAAACATTTAGGCTTCGAATAAAAGCGCACATAGGCCAAAAATATGGAAAAAAAACGGTACACTCCCCTATCGAAACTTGAACGTAGAAGCCAATAGAGCTTTTAATATTGGTTCAAATGAAAGATGTATATATGCCGGTTCGAGGCTATACTACAGAGAAACTCTTACTTGTTTGAAGCATTTTTGTTCCAGCTGAATCGGAAGATATCATTTTTGTATACCTGGGAGCAGATTCTGTAACCAGTTAGCGACAATTTTCGAATCCGTATCGGTTTTGTTGACGAATGATATGAAGTAAGTATTTTTACGCCAACAAGTGCGATATCGAATCGAAACTTGTCGCTAACTTGTTACAGAATCTCCCGCTTCTTCATCCGTCAAAACATTTTTCTTGAACCTTGATCGAGTAAGGTTAAAACTGATAGAATAATATTGCTCTGTTGCGATAAGTTCAAGTGTTTTAGCCGATATCATATAAATTAGTAATGAAAGTTTTTTTCTATACTTGAAATGCATATGATGGCGAAGGATTAATGTAAAGAATCGGTATCTGGTACCGAAAAGGAAATATTGGGTACTGACAATTCAGCACATCACTAGAGAGCAGTTTTATTTGCCGCTCTCAGTTGTCAACTCTACGATGACGTCACGCCAAAATTACTCTCATGAGATCTACTGGAATCGGCGCATTCTTGTATTCTATCATTCTTGATTCGAAGGCAGAGGAAGTCTGGATTCATTCAACTTCCAGATCGTTTATAAATAGGGTGAACTGTCCATTCATGGAAAGAGTTTTCATTTTCTGTGCAAGGAGAGTTCATTGTCTTATTTAAGTCTTTCGTTGATTTAATTTGCATAATTATCTTTCAATCCTTTTGTGATTAATTTTAATATTCAAACATTTCAACGCCAGATCAAAAGTTTTAATCTCACTTCCATTCTTTGCGAATAGTTTAGTGAAGATTTGTTCCCGTTGCGTTCTCTGTCAGAAAGTTCCTGAGACTTTAGTTCCCGCATTGTTCTTAGAGAGAAAGTTCCGAAGACTTTTGTTCCCAATCTGTTATTATAGAAGGTATTATTTGCATTTTGTGATATCACAAGGTTTCTTATATTGCTCCATTGGATAGCGGTGATGTCAGCCTGAGTCTTCACGATGACTTCAACCAACCGAGTAGAGGAACCTTCCTCATTAATGGTCCGTACGTTTCAGTTGCGTGCCCTCAAATCATGGTCCTTTAAAGGTTCGCCGTGGTGCCCATCAAAAGTAGGTCTCTCATTGCAAGGCAGGTTCCAAACCCAACGCAACACCAGAACCATTGTCGAAGTTTTATTACATACGTTTTCATGGCGAAACGCTTGCAGAAGTATAACATCCGCTTGCAGCCGAACGTCTCCTTCTCTTTTTGTCTTGGCCCTTGGCTCCACACGGTTTTGTTACTACATCTCGCAGATGGGTGACCCAGGGCTCTTGAACGCGGACTCAACATCAGGAATTGAACATTGTGGAGCAACTGTAACTGCGTTCCCAAAAGCTCCACTAAACCCCCATATCTGCATCGTATGCTCAAAAATCACGCTTTTTCGTTTCATCCTGAACTATCTCATAAGAACATTCTAATCATAATTTTCGCATCTTTCTGCTATTATATTTTGTATTAATATCTTTCGACTTTTTTCTTTTTTTATAGACCGGCGCCTCTGCAGAGTTCAGTCATCGGCATCCACTGCGTCGTGAAACAGCCATCGAACTTTCACCGTCCAAACCGCCATCGGGTGGCGGCTTGCTCGGTTGCGGTAACAGCAGCGACACAAGCGGAGCTGGCAGCGGCGGCCCCGGTGGCGGTGGTGGAGCTGTTGTATTTTCCAGCTCATCCACCGGCCCAGCTGGGTTCCTCTTGAAAAACGAGCGGCCATGGCAGCGTAACTCCTCCATGGAGCAGCAACAAACATATCAATCGGCAGCGGTGCCAACACGCGCCACTAGCGAATTCCTAAATGCACCATTCGAAAGCACCGGCAGATTATTCAAAAAGTCCAGCGAGAGCTTACAAAAAGGCTCCAGCACAGAGACCGACTATTCAGCGCATCCATATCGCTTTATTAAGCAAAGTTCAAACGACACAACCACCTCAATGACTGGTTCCTACAACATCGATACACCATCGCTGGCGGCTGAACTGTCGCTTGACGCAGTCGAAACAAATACACAAACAACGCCCACCACTGTGCAGGAGCTTGTCGCCAGCAGCGGCGCCGGTGGAAATGGCACAGCCACTGCTGCAAGCAACGGCAACGCGAGCGACACTACTGCACGTTATCACTGCTGGCGACAAGCTCCTGCACAGTGGTGGGCGTTGTTTGTGTATTTGTTTCGACTGCGTCAAGCGACAGTTCAGCCGCCAGCGATGGTGTATCGATGTTGTAGGAACCAGTCATTGAGGTGGTTGTGTCGTTTGAACTTTGCTTAATAAAGCGATATGGATGCGCTGAATAGTCGGTCTCTGTGCTGGAGCCTTTTTGTAAGCTCTCGCTGGACTTTTTGAATAATCTGCCGGTGCTTTCGAATGGTGCATTTAGGAATTCGCTAGTGGCGCGTGTTGGCACCGCTGCCGATTGATATGTTTGTTGCTGCTCCATGGAGGAGTTACGCTGCCATGGCCGCTCGTTTTTCAAGAGGAACCCAGCTGGGCCGGTGGATGAGCTGGAAAATACAACAGCTCCACCACCGCCACCGGGGCCGCCGCTGCCAGCTCCGCTTGTGTCGCTGCTGTTACCGCAACCGAGCAAGCCGCCACCCGATGGCGGTTTGGACGGTGAAAGTTCGATGGCTGTTTCACGACGCAGTGGATGCCGATGACTGAACTCTGCAGAGGCGCCGGTCTATAAAAAAAGAAAAAAGTCGAAAGATATTAATACAAAATATAATAGCAGAAAGATGCGAAAATTATGATTAGAATGTTCTTATGAGATAGTTCAGGATGAAACGAAAAAGCGTGATTTTTGAGCATACGATGCAGATATGGGGGTTTAGTGGAGCTTTTGGGAACGCAGTTACAGTTGCTCCACAATGTTCAATTCCTGATGTTGAGTCCGCGTTCAAGAGCCCTGGGTCACCCATCTGCGAGATGTAGTAACAAAACCGTGTGGAGCCAAGGGCCAAGACAAAAAGAGAAGGAGACGTTCGGCTGCAAGCGGATGTTATACTTCTGCAAGCGTTTCGCCATGAAAACGTATGTAATAAAACTTCGACAATGGTTCTGGTGTTGCGTTGGGTTTGGAACCTGCCTTGCAATGAGAGACCTACTTTTGATGGGCACCACGGCGAACCTTTAAAGGACCATGATTTGAGGGCACGCAACTGAAACGTACGGACCATTAATGAGGAAGGTTCCTCTACTCGGTTGGTTGAAGTCATCGTGAAGACTCAGGCTGACATCACCGCTATCCAATGGAGCAATATAAGAAACCTTGTGATATCACAAAATGCAAATAATACCTTCTATAATAACAGATTGGGAACAAAAGTCTTCGGAACTTTCTCTCTAAGAACAATGCGGGAACTAAAGTCTCAGGAACTTTCTGACAGAGAACGCAACGGGAACAAATCTTCACTAAACTATTCGCAAAGAATGGAAGTGAGATTAAAACTTTTGATCTGGCGTTGAAATGTTTGAATATTAAAATTAATCACAAAAGGATTGAAAGATAATTATGCAAATTAAATCAACGAAAGACTTAAATAAGACAATGAACTCTCCTTGCACAGAAAATGAAAACTCTTTCCATGAATGGACAGTTCACCCTATTTATAAACGATCTGGAAGTTGAATGAATCCAGACTTCCTCTGCCTTCGAATCAAGAATGATAGAATACAAGAATGCGCCGATTCCAGTAGATCTCATGAGAGTAATTTTGGCGTGACGTCATCGTAGAGTTGACAACTGAGAGCGGCAAATAAAACTGCTCTCTAGTGATGTGCTGAATTGTCAGTACCCAATATTTCCTTTTCGGTACCAGATACCGATTCTTTACATTAATCCTTCGCCATCATATGCATTTCAAGTATAGAAAAAAACTTTCATTACTAATTTATATGATATCGGCTAAAACACTTGAACTTATCGCAACAGAGCAATATTATTCTATCAGTTTTAACCTTACTCGATCAAGGTTCAAGAAAAATGTTTTGACGGATGAAGAAGCGGGAGATTCTGTAACAAGTTAGCGACAAGTTTCGATTCGATATCGCACTTGTTGGCGTAAAAATACTTACTTCATATCATTCGTCAACAAAACCGATACGGATTCGAAAATTGTCGCTAACTGGTTACAGAATCTGCTCCCAGGTATACAAAAATGATATCTTCCGATTCAGCTGGAACAAAAATGCTTCAAACAAGTAAGAGTTTCTCTGTAGTATAGCCTCGAACCGCATATATACATCTTTCATTTGAACCAATATTAAAAGCTCTATTGGCTTCTACATTCAAGTTTCGATAGGGGAGTGTACCGTTTTTTTTCCATATTTTTGGCCTATGTGCGCTTTTATTCGAAGCCTAAATGTTTCGGTACCGAGTATCGAGAGCATTGGATACTTTTTTAAATCGGTACCGAATATCGATCAATACTTAAAATTATTGACTCAGCACATCACTACTGCTGTCATCTCGACTGTGACGTCAGCAAAACCGCTGATTCTGTCAAATTCACTGAGAGCCGATTCGCGGTGCTACCATCGGCGCCACCTTCTGTATTCACTCCAACGTGGCTTAGAATTAACCATCGTCGTGCCCACTGAAACAATTTTTCATCCCAAAACGCAGACTCTCCTCTCATTCAAAATGTTAAGTTCTCAAAACTTTTGTTCTCGTTTTGTTGTCTAGCAGAACGTTCCCCAAACTTTTTTCCTATTTGGTCCTGCTTGAAAACGTTCTCGATACATTCATTTTCATTCTGTTCTTCTTGAGAACGTTCCCAAGAGTTTTGCTCGCATTTTGTTCCAGTTCAAACTACTTCCAATACTTTTGTTTCCATTTGATTTTTTAGTGGGAACGTTCTTGACATTACATTTTGTTCCCATGCAGAAGCAAACTTAATTTTGAACGCGTTCTTGCTCACTGCTCGATTAAGAAGTTTCACTTAAAATTTTTTGTCGAAACTACACGAAACAACGAATATTTATATCGCCTATTGCTGTGTTTTGTGTTCATATTAATTTGTTTTAAATCATACGTTGAGTGTTGGGTGTCAATGATCCCACAAGCTATCTACAGTCACCCCATATTAAGTAACAGAATTTAAAACTTTCAGGCAAAAATAAAAGTAAAATAACGAAAGTAAAACAAATTTTGCATTCTGCATATCCACGCTTCATAGTTTGGTAATTTTTCAAAAATTGAACCATTAATCACATGCCACAAGTGCTGCTGACACACGGATTTGAAAAATGCTGCCATGCGTGTGAAAATAAAGCGGCTAGTAAATAATATGAGGGAGACCAATTAGTCGATTAGTCTGTGCTTTGCTGAAAAAAGTCATGTGCTAGTATGTTTGTACTTGGCTACATGCAACATGTGGCACAAATGGCCACAAAGGTTCTTGGAAAAAACAACACATTCGCAAATATTTGGATTGGATAAATGTGTCCACATACACATGTGTGGATGCATGTACAAATATTCAAAAATTCAAAATCAATAGACTACCAACGCCTGCTTTATGTATGTATTTATGTATATGAGAGGATGCTGTGTTGGTTTGTGTGTCCCCGTAGGTAAGTACTCACCCCAAATGAGTTCTCCGTGTCATCGATGGATGCACGTGCCTGAAATAGTCCCTCCAACATCATGTAGTCATTCTCTTCGCATTCCTTCAAATGTTGCTTCTCCAACATGGCAGCAAATTCAGCCTTAGACATCTCACCCATAGGGCGATCCAGTGATGCTGTAAGTGATTAATTATGGAAAAGGGAAAGAAGAGAGGGAGAGTGTAACATGAGTAAGTCAATGTATTTTTGTAGATTGGATAACAAATCAAATTACCAAAAGAACAAATGAAAGCAGATACACAGATACTATATATGTATATCCTCTTATGAGCAGATCTAAATTTTATGTATGCTTTGTTGAAAGTATGTGAAACTATGTATGTATGTTAGGGTTATCCTTAAAAATATCATTATCTAAAATTTGTATGTGATGTCTCATTTTCTTCGCTACCAAGGTTTAAAAAAATTTTCATTTCTTTTAAATCGAAAAAATTCCACATAATTTTGACTTTAACCACTTTTCAGAAAAAAACTTAAACAAATGACAGTCGCTGGAGCTTAGTATTGCATTCCAAATCCATTTGGCGTTGACTATGAACTTATATGAATAGGTTACAATAACAACAAAAAAAAAATCAAAACACACGAAGCAATCAATATACTCACGAAACTATGGGCAAAATTTAGTAAAACTGCGTTTTTAGTTTTCCTTGACTTCAGTATTTTTTAAATGACTCCATTTTCAAAGATATGATTACTTTCAAAAACAATTTTAACAATTCAGTGCAATGTAGAATAATAATATAAGTACCAAATATAAGAAAAAAACCTGTAGATTTAAATAAATTAAAAATTTTTTGGTTCGCAAGGACTAATAGGTATTGTAAATAAATCATTGATTCATTTTACTTTTTTAAGCCAATAAAATTTAAAATGTGAAATTTGAAGATGTTTCCGAGTGTATATTAGTCCTTAATATATAATTTTTTTCAAAAATAGTTATTGC